GCCATGTGTTGCCCGTTGCCGGTGGTGCAGAGGCCGCAGACCCGAACTCATCCCAATTGATGTCAATTGATGTCACACCTACCTCACGTGGCATTTATCAGCCGCAGTAATTTAAAATCAAAACGTGGCACATTCGTTTCCTTCCTACTCCCTTTCATCCGTCTCCTTCCGTCCTTAGGACTTCCCATCCCCAGTCACCTAGGGGAAAGTGGGTGTATTGCGCCCTCCTAACCAATTGCGCCCACCAACATTCCCACGGATTCAATGGCATGTTTTGAATTTTGTGTTCGAAAACATTATTTCCCCCACTGGATAGTTCCTTTTATGGCCCAAACTCCCCGATGAAGCCAATCAGCAAGGCTCATTACGCCGTCAAAGATGTTACGGCGTTTTCTTAGCTTTTTTGCAGCATTTTGAACCGTTGGCTATAAAAATGTGTGATATTTGTGTGCTTTTCAGAGTGATATTTAGAAAGAAAAACTCTTTTTTCATTATATTTCACTAAAACAGTTAACTTCCTTCAACATCTGTATGATAACTTCCTCGCTTTTATTAAAAAGTACCTCAATTTTAATTGCGCCCATGGCAATTGCGCCACGGGGGCGCAAATAGAATAATGGTGTAGCTATTGTATATCACGACAGCATGAATGCATCATTAACTGATTGCAATAAAGAAAGAGTTTAATGTCAGGCAGGGGAGCAACCCGCTGTCGTCAGTCCGCAAATTATTTCTCTCGTCAAACTTATAATGCAGCTGCCATTTAGGCTACGAACTTGTGGTGTAATTGACAAAATACGACATTTTCAACATGGACTCAGGCGTGAGAGGTGACAGCTATGATAAAAAAGTAGAAACTGATGTCATAAAGCTGTCGAAACAATAAAAATTATTAATTTTGAGAGAAACGATTGAAAATGTAACCGTATAGGCGCATACGTTCACATATATCTAGTCGGTTACAATAAACGTTTTCGTTGCACTTTTACAAGCGTACGAACACATGTAAAGTTATCTACCTGGGCAAAAAACATCGCGATTTACACCTACATTTATTATTTAACCAGCGTGAATAACATTATGAATGTTAAAGTAAGCCGCAATGACATTAGACTGCCGGGGTGTATGCATTCCGTCTCATTCGCTTAGCCATGTTAGTATAGGGCGCAAATGGGTTCTAATTGCGCCATCCCCCTGGCGCAATTTACAGCAGTTGTTGGCAAATGCGCCCTTTTACATGTTTCTGAAAAACAGCTGTCAGAAGCAAACGAAACATTATTAATTGATCGGGAGGCTCTTAAATCGTAGCCAATGAGTTCCTCTTTGAAATGGTCACCAATGCATGCTTATATCTCCAGCGGTTTTCTTACAATTAGCGTTTTTCCTTAAGGTGGCGCAATTCACCCTCCTTCCCCTATACCTCTGTTCGCTGGCAGTTAGGTACCTCAAACAGCTTTTGCTTAACGTCTTCACTCGTCAGTTGTTCTAGCATATTCAAAGGAGAAATCGTCTGGAAAGTTACTTCGCAATTTAATCGTGTGAACGTAAAAAGACAGATGGGAGGCGGATGTTGTCAATCGGACGTGAACTACTGGATGTGTAGTTCTCGACATTCCAAAAAATTCGCTCGAAGAAATACTCGAAAAGTCCCATGGATGGCAGTCCAGCCATGAAATACCGAGGCCACTAACAAATTTAGCAAGTGAGCTGTCGGTATGTGGGGTCGTGCGGAATGAATGCAATCTTGTTCAGTATAGGTATTAAAGAAGTAAGCTCTTGATTCCGTGGTTTCGCGAATCCGTGGGCTTCGTAGGTGAATGTGAGCTGCACTTTGCGTTCAACTCTCACATCTGATAGTCTGGCCAGCAGAGAGTGCAGTGGGGCGGAGGAGAAAAGTGCGAATGACACGATAACCCGGGCTGCAAGGAAGATATCGCGACGGCTGTCAACTCACGTAAAAATATTGAGCTGCGTTACGAGTTGGAAGGAACTCCACGAACGCTTTCACACAATGCCGCGACGATTCCTCATTACCGTCGGAAATCAAGTTGCTTGACAAAATGTGGTGCAGCGTAGAGCAGCAGATCGTTTCACATTTAATTGCAAAACGGCTCTGCAAATCGATTAGATAGTGGGATGCGGTGCACAAAGCGAAAGGATGAAAGTGAATAGGTACACATATAAAAAATATTGAACTGATACCTAGCCTTTCAGGATGTTACGAAACATGATACGAGCGGTGAACATATAGGCGCCTGCGATATAACAGCGTTGCGATAGGTACTTAAGTTCATTTAACAACCTACACTGAAAGAAAAAATGACACCCTGTACGGGGTATTGACGGTCATGTCAAAAATAACACCCGAGTGGGGTGTTTTGAGGGGAGTCGCTGAGCTATTATAAATGGGGTGTTTGGCGTACACCCCAGGAGGGTTTCGACGCATAGTGGGGAGTCGCAGCCGCTAAAGGGGGGTCAGCGCCGGCCCACATGGGGTTCCGTTAGACTGCAGGTGACACCCCTCAAATATCAGCCGAGCACCCCTTTTTGGTCCCTAAGCACCCGACAGGGTGTCAAACTCCCAAATTAGGGTGTAAAATATAGCAGCTCAACTTCCCTATTTTTCTGATATAACTCCCCATATTGTTCCTGACCCCCACGCGGGGAACCGCGCGCCTTCTGCAGGGAATCTCTCAGAGAAGTTTCACTCCCCTATACTTCCCAAAAACTCCCGGCGAGGATTAAATGTTCTTCGGAACGAGAATCTCAGACTATATTTATAACCGGGTGAGGAGTTACTCTTTCCGTTCGCGGCCTTGCGGCGCCCTGTAGTGTGCACGACCAACGTATGACACGGTAATCAGTCTAGATATCATCATGATATAGTTGGCCACTCTACACTATGCACGCTTTTGCCTTAGCTCCAAACATGCACCAGCCATTCGTGAAAAACAGGTCCCGATTTTACCAACTTTAGTTTGCGCCATCTATCGGTAGGATTTGAAGCTGAAAACACGGGGTGTCACTCCAGGATAATGACACCCCAGAGGGGTTTCAACGGGGGTGTCTCAGCGACACTCCAATTTTTTGGCCTGCAATTTTTGGGGAGTTCGCTAGCCGAACCTCTCCCAAGGGGGTCATGTACATTTTTGCGGCGTCAAAAGGTAATGGGGCTCCCGTGTCGGGTGTCACAACACCCATGACATCCTAAAATCATGAAAACGGAGCCTAATTTAGGAGTATTTTGGAGTATGTGGTGTCAGATTTTAAGAAATGGGGTTCCCCGATTTTTTTCAGTGTAGGTAACAGTTACACATCTTCTAAAAAAAAAAACATTACTATCTGCGGAACGCTCACCTTTTGTGAAAGATGATATCCATTGGTGCCGAAGCCAGCATGAAAAACAAATTGTAGTTACACATATTTTTACCAGCTTTCGTTTGTTGCGAAAGCCGTGATTATTATCTCCAGCAAGCCTAAAACCGAATATACATATGTTAAGTCCAGTGTCAATAACTCCTCCCTAAAAAAATGGGTTGGCATACCAAGCCATTTATTGAAAGCACTTAGTTGCATTGGGGGAGATAACCCGCTTACACGGACAATGATACAAACATGCACTCACATATCTGCATGGGTGCAATGTGAACCGCATTCCAATACCTTCTTAAGACGATAGATTGGCGCTCTCGGCAATCCGAACAATACCGGCTATTGATTCCTCCCCTCAACCTTGGCGCCCGATCTGCATGATTCGCGATCACAGCCGACCTTCATCCCTACTACCTCCTCTCACCGCATAAATTGCATTCCTTTGTCTGTGAGTTGCTGCCGTGCGGATCGTTCCCGTCCCTCGTGAGAGGGTGCCCGTGCCGGCCGGGGGTAACCCGTTACCGTGACGCACGCCGCACGGTCGTGACGCGCCTCTCAGTGGCGGATCCCGGCAGATCCCCGCCACAAGGGATGGGGAGACCACAGCGGCGTCACCGGGGAAGGGTGAGGAATCGGGGATCAACGCCGAGACACACAGCGAAGCCATGACTCAGGAGTGTGGCATGGCATCGGCCTTGACATGGATGTTTAAACTCCGTGAAATTGAGCATCGCCGTGATTACGTCGTGCTAGAGTGAGGATCGAATGTGATTTGATACAGAAGCTGCCGGTTGGAATTTTGGTGGTGGTGAATGGTGATCAATTTAAAAGAATAAATTTACCCGTGACTGAGCACATAAGACTAATAATTGCATAATTTGTCCAATAGTAAGCTTGTGTATCGTGCAATAGAAGAAAATACAACATTGTAAAATAGTAAATTCTTCGGACACTTAAGTTCTTGCCAGCCTGCGCAGAGTCCTTAGAACTAACTGTCAGGTGCGTGCTGCTTTAAATGTTCAAAGATTCCGTCAATCAGGACAGCAAGGGCACGGAATGTTCCATTTTGAATGCACGAAAACACGATGGCATGCTTTAAATCAAATTCGAATATCCAATCGAACTTAGTAGATGCATTTACCTATTTCCCATTACATCTGTAAGCTGCTAAGGAATTGCGAATGGGATGATTTGCGACTATCTTCATAAGGTCCTATTCATTCCATTTTTACATCAAAACTAATTTTCTTATTTAAGTGCTTCTTGCTTTTTCGACAAAGCGGCTCATTTTTCATGAAAATATTTGCTCTCAATTAGGACCAGCCACAAAGATCAAAGCCCATGCCGCCAGTGTTCCGGAATGCCCTTGACATTAGCGTGCGCTCATTTGCGGGCGCGTGGCGTTTTGGTTCATTCGGCCGGTCACCGCCAGACTCCCACCATCCGGGCAGTAACGGTGACCATAGGCGTGTCCACTGTCCAGCCCCCTCCAAGACGGCCATTGTCCGGCCAGGTCGACCCCCCCCCCCCCCCCAAGGACTGCCCTGTGCATTTCCCGAGCGTTATGACGTCAGCGGGCCGCTGACCAATCAGCGCGGCCGGCGGCTGCGGCCGGCCGGCCGGCTGTGCTCTCGGGAGAACGGCCCTGTCGGTGGAGAGTGGCAGTCGCCGCCGGAGCTCGCGGCTCGTGCAGTGAGAGAGGGACTCGGGGGAGAGTGAGCGAGCGCAGGTCGCCCGCGCGCCGGCAGCGCCGGATCCAGACCAGGTGAGTCGGCACTGTCCGATATAGGGACCGCCGCAGGGCCAAGGTGCCGTGATGTTTCGTGCCGTGACATGATATTGCGTGTCGTGCATGCACGGTCCTCGCCACCCCTCATACAGTCCACGTGCTACCTGTCCTGTCCCGTCAGTCCTGCCCATGCAGTGGTCCTGCACGCCAACATTGTTCACGGCACCCGAGGGGCCGCTGTAATCTCAAATGACACGATCCCCGCTGTGGCACGAGTTGATGCCGTGTCTACCACTAGGGGAACCTCCTTGAGGCACGATCGTGAGGAACCAATATGGGGATGTTTGCGTGTTGTGTAGTGGGAAGGTTCTCGTGCCCAGCGGCAAGGCAGCGGAGCCCGGCATGTGATCATGCACAATGTCTGCGCGGTTGCAGCTGTTTGGGGTTTGTGGGAATAATTGAAAGGGAGAGTACAGCAACTGAGATATGGGAAAACTATAGCTTCAATTGCAAGAGACACCCGGTGCTACTCAGCACAATACGACAGATGGAGCGAGAGCTGAATGATTTTGATCAACGACATATTTATGAACATCGAAGACACGGCGACTGGAAGAGACTCTCAATTCCGACATTCTATGGCCTTACGTGACAACACACGGCCGGACAGCCCCGAGAGGACAGAGTAGGGGAGATGAAAGAGGTGATGACTGATGAGTGCCGGTGGCGCTCTGGGTAGCCGCCGAGGAGGTCCCGCGGCTCCCGGAGACTGGGAGCGGTCGGCTGGTGACCCAGTTCGGCCGCGCCGCCAGGGGTGGGTGGCGGCCCGTGCTCTCGGTTTCGTCACGGACCGGCGCGTCGTGGCCGTCGCGGCCGGCGGCGAAGGCCAGCCGCGCCGGCCGCCGCCGGTGCGCCGCTTTCACTGAGCCGCGCCGGCCGGCGGTATCTCGGCGCGGTGGGTTGGCCACGGCGCGTGGACAGTCCTTGGGTCCGGGCCGGCCCGCGGAGGCCCGGTGCGGCGGCACTGCGGACCGCCAAGGCTCCGGTACCGCGGCCGGCCGGGTGTGGTCACCGGTCACGTTTATAGACCGGTGCCATTCAGGGCCGTGGGCTCGCACGGTAATGCGGAACGAAACCACGGCGGTTGGCTAGTTTGGTCCAAGGCTGTGGAAATTTGCAGTGATAGCGCGTCGTTATAGCAATCGGTATTTGTCCTAAGTCAGATTATTGGGCCACTCTTAAAAGAACCACGCTAAAATAATGCTGAATCCCGGAGATCATGACAATTTCCGGGCCGTAAGCTTGGTTTACGCTGGAGTAATAATATAATTATGCATATTATCATCATTACCGTTTACGCCGCTGGCGGAATGCTCTTAAGGGCTACCGGTCTGATGGTTTCGTTCTCAGCCTTTCCTAACATCGTGTTTTGCGTAAGCTGATATAAAGGTTTATAATCCCGCAGCCGCACCCCGCTGTCATCTTGAGCAAACAAGCAAACGAGATCTAGACTTAATGGGCTCTCAATCTTCCCGCTTGTTCCTCTCGGCACATATTCCATCATCTAACCTTCATGGATAATACAAAGTGCTTTGCAGCGAAAGTGAAGGAACGCTCCGATAATTATCTGAAGTCTGACCTACACGGCTCAGCAGGCTATAAAAATGGTTGCGCAATGAATGAGTAACCGCTATTCTCACAGACTTCATGTAACGACACGATGCATCCGCGGCATCGTAAACCAGCCATCGATGCTGCAAGTTCCGCGACGTGCACAGCTGACCAAGTTCGTCCCATTTTCGATTCAATGTCACATGCTGATGTTACCCTTTGACGCACGCGCTGGGGCAAACTCATGCCCTCGACCGCGCCCCACTGAACTGAGTGGTGACGCAACTGTGCGCGGTCGACCAGGGCGGCTTCCGACGGAGGCAGGTCGGCCCACCTAACCGCGGGGGTCCCCGGCCACGTGAAAGCGCCAACAGCTGGTCTATCGGCCAATATCTCTCAGAGTGATGAGATGGAAAGGAGTTTGTAATGAAACGGGTGCCGGTAGCGTTATGTTCAATGTAATTTGTAGCAATATTTCTATAACGTGCATGCATTATAAACAGCAGAGGCCATAAGTAGGTATATCCAACATTAGTTTCATGACTAAAAAAGCTGCATGCTATTACCAAGATAAAATTTACTGACAATAATAGACATTCAAAATATTCACCGGAAACGACACACCTGCATGTATGAAATCGGTGAAGTGTCAGCACCCTATCACCACCCGCATTACAATCTTTTTCCCATATTATCGACTGCGTGGTGATTTCACTATCGGCCCACCCGTCGTCCCCATCACTGTCCATTTTTAACGCACTTTAACGAGAGAAACCGGCCGGCCGGGCGGACCGACTCGTGGTAGGGCGGCCGGACGGGTCGGGGGACCGCGTGCCACGAGCGAGAGAGAAATTAGAACTCCCACCCGGCAGACGGGATTTTCTGGCCTGACCGGCCGGCAGGACCGCTGCACGAGCCGGCCGTGCAGAACGGCGGCCTGTGACCCGACCCCGGACAGAGCCGCCCGGGCCTCGGGTGGCGTGTGCACGTGGAACCATTGTCTGACTCTCGGCTGACTTTCGAAACTGGTGATACACAAAGGAAAAGGGCTTTGAAGAAAGCATCGGCAAAGTACCGTCCGCTTAGCGTGTTATCAATAGCTTTTCACCTGACTAACCATCAGTCCCGGCTACGGTCTACAGCGACTGCAACGCACAACAACAGCGTAACAGTGACTGCACTGCACACTAAGAAAGGAACACCAGCCATCCACAAAATCCGACTAGCCATATCACCACAGGCCCAGCCGGTGGCTGCAACGCAGACTCAGAGCCTAGCACCAGTAACTGCAACGCAGCACACCACAGTACCATTCCTTTTCCGCCGCGGCCTCCAGCGTTCCAACGAGCAAATCACCTTATCGTCTCGGGCTTTTTAATGTCACAAAGATCTTTCTCATGCAGTTGTCTAATGCTGGCTGTATTCAGAGCCCGACCAATCCATGCGGCTCGACATTCCAGCCGCCCCCAGTGCTCTGCCCGCTGTGTGGACCAGACGGGCGCGGTGGCCTACGTGGACCGTATTCCCCCCCCCCCTTAGCTGACCCCCTCCCTCCGGTACCGGTACTCCGAACAGCGCGGTAACAAAGGCTGCAGCGTGAATGCACTGAACTGAGACGGTTGAGCTCAAGGCAGAAGGTATAGAATGCGAGCCGTTCGTGTGGTCTGGTCGTGGATCTACGGTAGTAGATAGTTGGCCGAATATATGATCATTCGTTACGGGTCATTACTTGGCGCATTCATGAGGATTGGCGAGAGCCATAAGCTCTTCCACCGTCGTACAGAATATACCATTTAACCCACTACTTTTCACCAAGCGGATCACCACGAATTGTTTTAAATCGACTTCTTTGCGTGTGAAGTTGGTGATCGCGATGGCGATTTTCCAAAACCAATACAGCTCATCCGCCGAAGGCGACTGAAGCGAAAAGAACAGGTGAGAGTAATAGAAAAGACTGGCGTAGATGACAGGTGAACATTAGTCGAGGACGCAATCCGCTGGTATACGGCTGTATATCACTCAGTTTTATAATCCCAACCAGCACCTGCAGGCTAGAGAATACAGTCGTAATCTCCCTTCGGGGATAGGTGGACAAATGGCGGAGGATCACAGACGCCTGAAGGGATTGAGCGGGAGCGGAGACAGATTACCGCAGAGGAGACAGGCTGACACCTCCGTAAGACAGCCTCAGAAGGCCAGAGGACTCACACCGCCAGTACTGGCGCTATGGGGCCAGTGACCCGGTCGGTGAACCGCTCAACAGAAATCCTATGGCAACGCCCTGACATAAACCGGCACGACAGTACGGGGCGGACCCGGGTAGTGTCCTGCAATGGCAGAATAAGCGGACTAGCCCGCACCGGTCTAGCTCCATGCGGCAGGCGATGGAGCTGAGAGCGGCCGCCGACACAGCACGGAACGGGCATTGACACGGCACAGAGGTGGGGTGATGCTGACCGAAGGAATTCCCGAGTCTGAGTCACGGACTGTAGGTGTGACCAAAGACTTGCCGAGATCGCAGACGTGCATTCCGAGATAGACGGCGTTCCTCACCACAGGACGGCCGCCCGCCTCAGTGGTCTGCCGCGCCGTGCATATCTCCAGCCTTCTCTCTGGCCTCGGGGCGCTGGAGCGGAAGTCAGATCCGATCACAGCCTGCTCGCTCGCCGTGACAGAGCGTTCAGCAGTTCCGCTAACTGAGCGATCGGGAGAGGATTTTCACCTATCTTGATCCGGCATCGGTGCACCGGCTGTAACAGGCCGTGAAATTCGAGAAATAAGAGAACACTGGGCGATAGACGATAAACTAACACTAGTCAGCCGCATCTAGGGTTGAATCGTGACGATTTGTAAGCGATCGTTGCGATACGGGTCACGGTTAGGTTTCAGCAGGCTCGGGATGAGCACGGTAGCTTGATCGGAACGGTGTCAATCGTCGCGGATCGGTCACGGAATGGCAATAGAAGAGACATGGGTGTGGCCAGGATTACAGCCCAGGTGTTGCAACATTTTCCAACAGAAACGGTTCAAGAAACGTATGTATAAAAACTTTGCTTTGAACTTCTCACTCACATAGATCTTGTCTTTTTCACACCAACCCAGCTCTGATACCACGCGTAGCACTCGACAACCAGATGCCTCTCGTCATGTCACCGTTGCACTTAGGAGACGCCCTCTCTCCCTTGTGTCTGTCACACCCCTGCCTCCCTCCTGTCTGTTTGTCGGCGGCCCTAACCCTTCTCCTCCCGTTCGTCCACAGAAGGCGGCCTCGTCACGAGCCGCCGGCAGCAGCACCCCGTCGGCGCGCTCGCCGGCGCCCGCCGCCATGCCGGCCGCTCCTAACGCCCAGTCGGCCACCTATGGCCTCGAGGAGGACGACTATGACGCCGACGAGAAGACCCCGCTCACCGAAGACATCTACGGTGGCAGGTGAGTTGGCTTGGGGTGAGAGAACAGAGAGTGAGAGAGCAGGGAGTGAGAGACCCAAGGGTGAGAGACCTGAGGGATGAAATATAGTACCAGGGTAAGAGACCCGAGACTGAGACACACAAGGGATTAGAGACACGGGCGTGAGACCCGGGGATGAGAGACCTTAGGGTTATGGGTGAGAGACCCGGGAAGAGACGCACCGACACGGAACGGTGAGAAAGGCCGCACGGAATGAGTAGATGAATATTTACGGACCCATAGGAACGCCTGTCGCGCTAGAGTTATGTCGCAGTCGGGGCATTGTAAAACAAGTTAGTCTGTAGGTGATAAATGATAACGTAATACAATAGACGAAAGTTCATCGAGATACCATTTCACATTATTACAACACAATGACCCAAAGCCACACTTTCTCTGGCATGCCTTGGAACAGAAGTTTCGTCGTTAGTGGTCGCTCATAGCCGATTATCACCGCGGCGTCGATAATAAAGCTAATATCCGGCTAAACGTTAGCGTTTAATGTGTCTCTAATGCATATTGCGGTTATCGTTTCTAAGCATCTTAGCAGAAGTGGAAAGCTAATCATCCCTGACCGCCACTTCATACAAGTGAATATCTTAAACGTAATACCTACAGGGTGGAAAGTAATTACGCGAACATACTTTTTCGTCTTCTAGTAATGAAAAAAAAAACGGCGGTGACATAAACAATATATGTTTTACTTTATCCTTATCTCGTTGCGATACATTGACATAGGCGTTCCGGCATGATTTACATCAGCATGTGAAGATCTGTTGGCCAAAGCTCAGCCCACACCTTATAGAGCTGTCCAGTGAGGTAATCGGTATTGGTGGCTCCTTGCAGCTTTTAGACGGTCTCCTGAGGAGTCATCTGGAGATTTTTAGTCGAATTGAGGCCCAGGCGTTTCCCAGATCAGCTTTTGTATGTCCTGAAGAAAAACAGGTTCTCACAGCACCAGTATTGCGTTTTGTTGGCCATGAAAGTAAGGACTTCACCAATCACGAAGAGCAGTTTCTTTGCGTCGGGCACAAAAGTGCGCTCAATCATTTTGCCCCTTTCGTTGCACGGTGGATTAGACAGAGACACTCGTCTTGGAGGATGTTCCACCGGTTGTATACTTTATTTTTAGTGACCTTTTTTAGCGCTACACGCAATTCTGACACCACCCGGGGGCTCGTGACCCACTGATGTGTTCCTTTGCCGGATGTTTGAAGGTTGGGACGGACGGGACATAGGACGCAACAGCAGCCCTTAGAGCAGTTGTTCTGCAGGTTTGACGGATGAAACAGTTTCACAGTCCACAGATGTCTCACCCAACCACAAATCCAGCTGCCTGTCCTCCTCTGTCCATCTTTGATTGTCTTTGAAAAGCTTCAATTAACAATTCTGCTGTTAATTTGTGAATTTTGGTCATCCCGAGGGTTTCTACGGCTTAATTTTCGAATTTTTGCGTATTAATGTGCGAATCGTGATATCCTAGATCGGGTACCCGGCCAGAGTAAGCTAATTTGCCAGTTTTCGGGTCGACTGGCGTCGTTTTGTCGCCGACATGGTGACCACCCATCCGGCGACAGAATTCGCCGAGGGGTTGCTGCCGCGGACGGCTTTGCTTTTTAAGTCCTCTCAAGTGTTATTATGTTTAAAAAAAACGTATAATTGTGCAATGCTGGTGCTGAGACCGCTACAAATCCCTTCTCCGCCAGTCCGGCGAAAATAATCACAAACGCTTTCCCTGGCAGCTCCAAATTGAGCTCTTTGCCCATTTCGGTCTTGTGCAGCGTATGGTGTCTGCACCATTTTAAGTCGAGAGGTTGTTTAAGACCTTCCAGGTCATTGTTCAAAGTTAGGTCACTTTTGGTAGATGAGGCGACAACAAACACGACCAATTATGTTCCATGACAGCCCGCACTCATAAAAATGCTCCACTGACGGTCAAAATTGTAAGAAAATACATGTTCGCGTAATTACTTTCCACCCTGTATGGGAGCATTCGCAAGAGTACATGGTTTCAGTTGATTGCTCACTAACCAGAAATATGCAATGAATGCACGCATATAAAACGCAATTGAATTTGGACGCCCAAGGCCGTCGATCACTCAAATCCTTGAGCGATTTCGATGACAAAGGAGACAGCCTGTCAATCACAATAGGCTCATTATCTTTAACCGTTTGTCGGTGATGTCTGTATTTCGGTTAAAAATTTGTCAGTGCTCGAAGCTCCCTATGGGTGAGTAATAACGAACCGAAACGTGAAAAGAATAGCCTAATTTACTATTCCAAGTATCACTTGGGAAGTGCGTTTATCTTCGCATAGCGATTGCACGATAGCCGCTGGCCTCATTACGGAGTGTGCCGCTGTTGTCTCCCGTCGGCGGTGCTGGCTGACCGACACAGCGCGCCCATCTGGTGTCCGCTCACCACGCCCCAAACTGGGACACACGGCCGGTCCGCGGACACCTGTCGCGCCCACCGACACCCGTGATAACCGCTCCGTCAGGGGCGGAAACGAGGCGGAGCACTGCAGGAAGAGGCGGGCCCAGCCAAGTTTTACAAAAAAAAACATTAGCTATTCAAGAGTTTTCTTTAGAAGGGAACTTCGCTTGCTATCGTTAGTAAGAGACACTTAAAATTTCTTTCACAGACATTTAGTTCTGAACGGCTCACCCGCTAAAAGTCCAATTGTCCGCATTGGGGACGTTAAATAGGCACCCCTCCGTGTCTGCTAATCGTAAACGGGCATACCTCGCCTAGGTCCGGTCTGGCCTTACCCCGCTGAGCTCTCCTAACGCCCTAGTAACGCCGCCTGTTGTTTGTTCAGCACGAGGTGTCACTCGCGCAGCCGTCCCACTGGCCGACCGACCCACCCGACATACCCCCGGGGTAGTTGTAACACCCGCGATAGCCACTGGTCCGGAACGCCGCGCCGAGGTGCAGTAGGACGCTGATGGGCTGATTCATTGCAGCCGAGATGCATTAGGGCGTGAAACAAAAGCACGCTGCTCTGAAGTGCCGACTTGCTGGCGGTTCTTTGAAGAAGATCCAGCGGTGATCTCGTGCGCGGAGGGGATTATGCTTCACGTGCTCTCTGAACTTGCGGGGTTAAAATAATGGATGGTTTCTCCCGAGAGTAGGTATCATACATCTCAAGACTCAAACCACAGTGATTGTTCCTAACTGAAAGATGTGGGAACATGATAGTCCTACTTTGGCCGTCCTGAGCAGTCCAGTTGGATAATTCCAACCTCCATCCGGTCAGAGACAGGGCATTTGTTGGAACATCCGGGATAAAAAGAAAGGGACACGATAACTGGACACAGCGGAGGAGCGTGCGCGAACTCTTGTCCGTTGTTACCACTTGTCAACCAACGGGACCACACGGACTAACAGCACAAAACATCTGTCCACTCCTATGAACATTAAGCGAGTCCGTGTTATCGCCCGGCCTTGAAACACGACCCTCGATCTCAGCTGATGGCAATTCAAGCCGCCAGTAGATCGGGCCATCCCCGTACAAAAACTGCCCCAGTCCGCCGCTGGCGGCGACCTGACCTGAATCCTGACACGGCACGGCCGAAGGACCGACACGGGCTCGGCGGCGGTGGCCCCGCGGTGGCGGGCGGCCGGCGCCGGTCCGCTGAGACCTGATTACATCGGCGGACGGACGGGGAGGGTATAGCGCGGCCCGTGTCAGGGTCGGATAAGGGCCGAGTTGTCGAGCGGGGCTGGCTGCGGATGGAGCGTCGCCGCTGGAATGCTTCTCCTTCGGTTTGGTTCTGAATCAGATCGGCAGTCAGTGGCGGCGGAATAGGGGGTGCAGGGGGTGCAGCTGCACCCCCATCAAAGAACATGGGGGTGCAAATATATCTTTTTGCACCCCCAAAATTCGTACAAGGGGCCCATCGCACCATCCAATACATTTTCTCCTGAAAACCAGTGATCGGGAAACGAACACTGATGTGGAATCATCCGGGATGTCCAATTATGGTCAGGAGCGCCCCATGCTAGTCTTTGGGGCCCCCACACCGGCCTAGAAGTGTCCCGAGCCGCGTTTGGTGCTCCACGCGGCATCTGAGGGCCCCACGACGGCCTCAGAGAGCCCTTTTATGACGATCTCTGAGGGCTCCCACGACGAACTCTGTCCCCTGGGGCCCTACAACGGCCACTTAAGGCCCTCATGACGACCGCTGAGGGTCCCACAGGACTCCAGGGGCCCCACTGGCCTCTGAGGGTCTCTACGACGGTATCTGAGGGCCCTCGTGACGGCCCTAGACCCAACTCAAGTCTGAGGGCCCATTTGGCTTCAGATGGCCCAGCGACGGCCTCTGAGGGCCCCAACACAGCCAGGTTGCAGGGGCTATGCTGGCATCTGAGGGCCCTACAACGGTCTATTGAGGGCCCTAACAACGATGGCCTCTAGCGGTCTTACCAAGGCCTCTGAGAGCCCTGCAAAGGTATCTGAGGGCCCATGAAGACCCTCACTATGGTCAAGGACCCTCATGACGACCTCTGATGATCCTCTCGAAGGCTTCACAACAACTTCTGAGGACCCCAGGACGGTCCCTGAGGGGCTGAGAGCCCTGACGACGACCTCTCTGGGCCCTCACGATGGTCTCTAAGACCCAACGCAAGCTCCGAAGGCCCACGCTGGCGTCTGAGGGCCCCACGACGGCCTCTGAGGGCCTCGACGCAGGCAGGCTCCAGGGCCATGCTGACCTCTGAGGGCCCTCTTGACGGCTTCTAGGGCCTAACGAAGGCTTCAAGGGCCAACGCTGGCCTCTGAAGAACCCTACGACGGCCTCGGAGGGTCTCAACTCAACGCAGGCAGGTGCCAGGAGACATGCTGGCCTCTGAGGGCCCCACAAAGTTCAGATTCAGAGGATCCAACGACCTTTGTGGACCTTACGAAATACGAAGGTCTCCGAGAGCTCACGCAGGCTCCTGGAATTCCACACTGATTCTCAGGCCCCATGTCGGCTTGTTGAGGCACTTTATCTGCTCTTGGTGCCCCGTCGCCGGCCTCTGAGAGTCTCAATGTCGGAACTTTTTTTTTTTTTTTTTTTTGGTGCCCGACTCGGGCTTTTGTCGTTAGTAGCACACATTCATACTGGGTTAGTACACTATACACACGGCAGTGGTACGAATCGTTTTCGGCACCCGCTACGCGGGACAGCCTTGACCGCACGCTTCCTGTCACATGCCCCAGGTGGCACCGCACTGGTGCGCACGCTGGGGCTATCCCGATTTCTCGGGCCCGGCAGGTCAGAGGGCTGCTCCGGGACATGAAGCGAGGCCGTGCCCTCGGAACATGTCACCGGACCGAAGGATCTGTTTAAAGGCGGATCAGGCCCGTGTACCTGCGGCCGGGGGCGCTGGTTGGCACAGCGTTAATCCCCACGACCGAGCGAACACTCCCCAGTTACTGCCATCTCCTGGGTAGGAGCCGGCCGAGGAAAACGCTGCCAGAGGTCAGCTTTGATCCAAGGACCTCCCACACCAAACGTGAACGCACTTGCCAACTGCGCCACAAGGGTGGTCAAAAATTGGTCAAGAATTCCACACTGATTCTCAGGCCCCATGTCGGCTTGTTGAGGCACTTTATCTGCTCTTGGTGCCCCGTCGCCGGCCTCTGAGAGTCTCAATGTCGGAACTTATAGGGCCATGGGCCCTACACCGGCTTTTATGGTTCATACATACATCGACTCTTGGGACTCATGACCCATGAAATGTGGGTCTAAGCGGCTTCTAAGAATCACCATGCTGGTTCTAGTAGCCGCCAGCCGAATATATGGGCTCACACGCGAGCTCCTGGGACCCCGTGCATACCCCAGGGGCCTACCTGCCTCTAAGACCCCACACATACTTTTGGGGCTCAAAAGTTTGCCCCCGAAGGCCCCACTGAGACCCCTTTCCTCTACTCAGTCCTCCATACCGGCTCTTTAGGCTAAACATCGGCTCCTGTGGCCTCCACCCCGGCTTTGGAGGGCCTCCATACAGGCTTTTTTGGGTCCGATACCGGTTTCTAAGAGCCCTCAAAAGACAAAAGACAAAAAGACGAGCCTATACTGTCTTCTGAAACCTTTCAGCAACTTTCAAGGGACCGACTGTGATCGGAGGGCTCATTCAGTCTGGGGAGTCATGTAGGTCTTTGGAGGAGTCTCTATGTGGTCGGTTTCCAAGGGGCATCTAAACACGGTCTTCTTGGAACGGTGTCGTAGGGCACTCAATGGTCCACTGCGGATCCAGAAAAGTGGTTTGAGACGCTGCGGGTGGTGGCTAGACTAAAAGATTAGGCGATAAAAAACTAGCTGCATTTACTTCTTTTTTTTTCATTATTTGAGATAGGTAGGTACACTGCAATTTCAAACCTTTTACAGAACTTGTGTGTATGGGGATAGTTTTCCAAAATCTTCATTTTTCATGAATCAATAATGATCACTCAAAAAAAAAAAAAAAAAACACTGGAGGGGGGCCCAAAACTTCCAGAGGGGCCCCTTGGGAAAACTTTGCACCCCCATCCAAAATTACCTTCCGCCGCCACTGTCGGCAGTGCATTTGTCTTCAGTGATCGGAGTCCCGCTCACAGACTGAGGCAACTCCGCGAGTCTGTTTCCTCAAGGAACTTCGTGGCTCTGCCACTATACTTGCAAAATGCAGCTCCGTGGCTCTGTCATCCTGCTCTCCGGGCGTCGGTCAATGCCAGTCTCAGGAGTCAGGCGGTGCGAGTGCAACACGTGGGAAACTGACCGAGTAGCTCCCTGCAGAAGAATGTGCGACGGTCACGCAGAGCAGCCAGCAGCAGTTTCCTCCTGTGCCGTTTACCTCCTGCGGAGTTCAGCCGTCAGCGGTACGGAGGTCATGTCAACATAGCGACACGCGTTGCGTCTACGCAGACAGGGTCCAGTGCCTAGCACGTGCAGCGTACCATGAAAATGGACGCACTTTCGCTCTTTCGCGTATTCATGGGCCTCGACTTGTGAGGTTTACGTAACCTTGCACAATCCTGATTGCTGTAAAACGAATGGACTTCTGTTGGCGTTGAACACTGTTATCTTGTCTGTATCTGGCTATTAGCTTTGGAGTCCATCGTTCGGCTAAGCCATCAGACCAGCAAGGTCAGACACATAACGTCTCCATTTCGCCCTTGCTCCGATATTCATATCACATGTCAATCGTACATTTCCCTCACCACCGCCATCTGCCTCAGCCTCCCATTCCCTCCCACTTCATCAATAACCCTGTGTGTGCCTATTCCTAACGGTGTTGGGGGCTCATTCTCTCCCCAGCCGCGGGCAGCGGCCATTACCCAAGGCCAACGGGTATATGTTACTGCGCTCCCGGGGCAGGCCAGCCTCCGACGTCACGGCATCTAACCTTGGCGGGCTGCTCTCAGCGCGGCTCCCGGCCCGCTCTGTCCACTCCTCCGCTCTCTCCACCCCTCACGGCGAAAACTGACCGCCGGAGAGCGATTGACGTTGTATCTGGGGCGCGCTCGCGATCTTCACAATCGGGACGGCTCTCAAGGGCTCGCAGTCGGAGGGTCGGTCTTTTAGTTACGGCTTGACGCCGGAGGGTGTTGATAACGTGATCGATCTTAGAAGTATTTTTTTATTTGAGGTTCTTTTGAGAGCATGTCGGTCGTGCTCCAGCCCTGAAAGAAAGGGTCAAGTCAGGTGATTCAGTATGTGACTTGCACTATGACGTATAATATGGCGATAGCACCCCAGTCATTTCGTTATCCAGACGTTCACTTTCAGATGTCCAAGAGCTCAAGGACAAGCAGAAGCCCTTAGATCCAGGATGACAAATTTATGTTCCTGATTATTCTGTCTATCCTTCAAGTAACAAGACCTAAATCCCTGAAGAGCTGCGTCGGCTCATCCAGCTCAGCGTATTTCGAAGTCACGGAGACGGGAGAGGTGGCCCACCTGAGGTTTTCCGTCCGGTGCCGGTCTGTCTAGTGTCAGGGCCCGGGGTCGACCCGACCTTCGACCTCTGTCCGATCGGAACCTCCCCCCCCCCACCGTCCCCCTGGGGGGTTACCAGTGAATGATTACCGATAATGAACGCCCAATACCGGTCCGCCGGCGGCATAACGGCCCGAGATAATTGAGTAATTTAAACAACTCACAGCCAGACCTGAGGACACAAGGCCCACGGATAGCATCTATTCCCCGGTGATTGGTGCATAAAATGACGATGAAGTTATCTTTTTTAAAGCATTGTTTAGTGCCTTGCATACATACATTGCATTGCACCTACATGCCTTGCATTACATATGCGATGAGTGTTCGTGCTTGTTTTTTTTTTCTAGCATCTAGGCTTCAGCGACCATTACCATACTGCTTTCCCTTTTACACAAATTACGACCTAATTCTACTAGATGTTTCGATTCGAAGTAATTACCACTGAATATGAATGAGTCCGTTGAAGTAAACCCTTTGACATTATTCCGTATCTTAAACAATGCAAACCAAACCAAATCAACACCCCGGCGCACCCCACCGCACCGTCTGAGTTCTGACCCATCGTTCTACCCGCAGTCGGCGGAGTATCGTCCCGGAAACAAAGCGATGGGACGTGTTCCGCGTGCTGCCCCCGGAGAACGACTCCGGCTCCGAGGCCAACCAGCGCTGCCTCGAGATCACCGTCAAGATCATCAAGGTGATCGTCATCATCATCACATTCGGCGTCGTCCTCACCTGCGGCGTCATCGCCAAGGGCACCACACTCTTCATGACCTCACAGCTCAAGACGGACAAGAGCGTCGAATACTGCAACAGGAATATTGGTGAGTACCGAATGCGTATGGTTATGAGGTGTGAGGTCACACCTTGGACGAGCTCTTTATTGATGTCTGTTTGTCTCAGCTTTTTGTCCATGTGTGGTTTTGAAGTCGAGCAGCAAAATCGATCCCATTTCGACCACCAATGGTCACGAATCGTCGCCGGCTGTGACCAACACAAAGAAGGTTACCACGCCCCAGTTCAATAGCCGTCAATTTCTGCGACACTGGATGTGACGCCACAGCCGCCGCGTCCGTTCCGCTCTCGTGACCGGTCGGTATTCAGACGACTGACGAGCAAGGTCGTCTCTGCGCCATGATTGCCTCATCGCTCCGCGGCGGTGACCACCGTAATGGCTCGACGGCAGCCGTGCGCACAGGGCGGCGCGGCGTGGCCGCCGAACAGGAAGCAGAGACTAGCGGCCGAGGAAGGCCGCCAGACACCGCGCTCGTGAGCGATCGGAACACGCCTCGATGGGGTGCAGTCATGAACTTGGTGCGGCGGCTACCTGAACAGCCGGCTGACCAAACAAAGGGCTGAATATCGTGCTGCGGCTGTAAAAATGGCCGCTCACGGTGCGATATAGGCGTGAGAAGAAATTTCTCGTGAGAACGACATGCCGGCGCAAGGTGATTAAGAATAGTCGCCAGAGCTCGAGCCATAAAAAGAGCCGATCGATGCAAGCAGGCAATACTACATGCGTGCCTTCCGGCGACAAGCCCTCATAGTCTTTCGTGGTCCAGCTGTTCTGACGGACCTCCAATCAGTCCAAACCCGGCCAGACTTTTGCGCAGCAAACACAGAGGGTCGGCATCTCGTAGCTCCGGCGGCCAAGGCTATCTAGTGTCGGGCTCCGGGGCCGGGACGGCGCGGCGGACCGGCTGGCTTTCGCCGGCGACCACCGGGCTGGACGTCTGAAGACAGGACCGGCCCGCGTCTCTCCGAAGTCCGATTACGGACAGAGAGCTGCACTGATCCACAGACTGCAGGATGCGGTGGGTACTACTACTGACTACCGAGTCTCCGGACCTCAGCCGGATGCCAGGGTGCATTCGACTGTGCTGTAGATCCATGTTAGTGGAAGCGAGACGACCTCCGAGAATACGATCTACATTCTTCATGTTTGGAAATACTCCGGTGTATGGCGAATCATGATGCCGCGTCAGAAGCTGCAACGCAATTAGATGCATCCTGAAGATGTGCAAATGCAAACAAGGACCTCTGAATTGGAGGCGTGTTCCAGAAGCGATTTGCATTTCAGGTCATCCGTTGCGTTGACGTAGCGAAATGTGCCGAAGTAGAACATAACATCATGCATGTTGACATGAATGTCCACGGTTAATATGACACGTAATCCTGGCGCCAATGGAAAAACTTAATGCATGCACTGTCTGTAGGTACGGGAAGTCAACTTCGGGGTATATCAGTATCTGGTATCAGATTGAGTCATTATACTCCAGCAGTTTTTCTGTACGGAAGGCTGTTTCGTGATGCCGTTATGCGATCCAACCGTTCCAGCCATCGACCCCGAAAGGAAACTCAACCAGGAACGTTAACAGCCCAGAACATGAACATTAAGGTGCAGCTGTTCCTACGAAAACACGATATATACGGCAAATTTCGTGACTTGTAGGCCGGAAGGAAAAGACATGTGGTGGCGACCGAATAGTATAGACAGAAGCACTGCTAAGCTGTTGCTAAGATTAGTGCTCGCTGTGACCGGAGGGGTAGCTTGTATAACAATATTTTACAGCACCTGCAACGAGAACTTGTTTTGGGCGTATCGTGTGATTTTTCCAGCAAAAAAAGTTGAGCAAGGAGACGAAGTTAGTCTGATGAGATGGAAATCCAGTACACTTTTAAAATCATCCGATGACCGCCCCGCTTCAGTGAAAAAGTAATTGTGTAGGGGTGTATGTATGCCGATTTTTTAGTTACCGTCAACATAACACGCGCACTGCAGCGGGTCTGAGCCGAACACGAACTGCAGGGGGGGGGGGGTTGAAAACAACCCCCCCTGAGATCTCGAAAACGGCGCAACGTAGCGACAAGCGGTAAACGGCGTTGGATAGGTTAAGATGAGATCTACAAGAAATACTAAGATCATTTTTGGGTCAGGTCACAAAAACACAAAAACGAGGTCACCAGAGGTCACCGAAGACAAAATGTTACGATTTTCACAACAGGAATTTCGCGGTAGTTTTTCTTGAATAACTTGTCTTGCACACAAGACAGAGGATCGATTCGAACGCCATCGTTCTTAGCTCGTCAAGGCGCATCGAATGATATATAATATGACCTCGAAAGGTCAAGTTGAAAAATTGACCTCAGGTCAAGGTCATGACCTGACCGAAATAGGTCATGTTGCATATCATTCGATCCGCATTGACGAGAAAAACACGATAAACGTCGAACGGAGTCTCTATCTCTATTCAATCTCAAGTTATTGAAGAAAAACCGCTGGTGACCTCAGGTGACCTAAGATGACCTGGAGATCACCTTCCAAAGGTCATAAGTGATATGTTTCGGTGAAATCACCAACAGGGACCTGTAATACTATGATCCTGAGCGTATTGAAGTCATAGGATGGCATTCAGAGTAAGTTGAAATTTCTCCCATTGACTTATAATGGGCCGGTCGCAAAAATGACCTGACCTTAGGTCATCGATATAAAAATTCCGAGATATACAAGTTGTAGCTCGTGATGACTTTACTATTTCCTGTGGGTTTCAAGATCATATCTCAACAACTGTGGGCTTGGTGGGATTGCAAACTTCGAAATTTACGTTTCGAGGTAGGGTCACTTGACCTGACCTGGTGACCTGACCATAGGTCACCTGGGGTCAAAATTTTTACTCAAGGTGTGCAAAAGTTGGGAGAACAGGTATGCAAAATTTGGCGGCGCTACGCGCCGCCGTTTTCTCGCGATTTGCGAAAAACCACAGGGGGGGGTTGAAAACAACCCCCCCCCCCCCTGCAGTGCGCGTGATAAGTCATCGGTTTTATATTTGATGCCGATTCCCGTGACAACCAGACGCTACTAAATTCGCCACCACCGTTCAGCCTGTCGAACATCAGCCCTAGCCTTGAAACGTCACCATCTTCCATTGCTGACGAAAAATCTGACGGAAAATCTCTGAGGTGCAGCAGCTGGCGGATCTCAGCGCCCCCCACTAACCAATCATTGAGCTAGATCCGATCAAACCAGCCACGTCCGGCGACCGACCTGGAAACAGCCTCCAATAACACAATGCTTCCATCGGGAGCACGACGGACTGCCCTAAGTCATCGTATGGGTGGTAAAACACGCGGACTTGGACATGCGGGAGGCATTCCCGACAGGGCTGCCCCTCACCAGAAATACCTTGCTAACGCCTGGTGTTGGTAATGCCGGTACACGGACGGCTCCCGCAGTGACGTCACGTGCCGGTTCTCTGCGGTGACAGGTACTGCGGCGGAGGAGAGGGGCGGCTGTCGCGCCACCCACGCCAGGGCCGACTGACGACCGGTGACGTGTCCCGCCGGTAATCGCGCTGGTAATCCATCGGTAACCAGTCGATACCGCGCTGGTAGACGCCGGTAACCGTGGACAGTCCGCCCGTCGTGTTTTGTCTGACGGTGATGCCGCCCGGCAGACCGGTCTAGGTAGAAGGCCGGCCTGTTTTTTGGCTCACTGTGCCCGCAAGCAGCTCTAAGATGGGCTGGCCACCGGGATGTCTAGCAGAGCTGGAAGGCAGGAGCGGAGGCGATTTTCTTTGTTGGACTTGTGCTCAGTGTTGAAATATGGATATGTGGTGGGCGAACAGCATCAAAATCCTTTGGCGCCAGTCGCAGTATTCTTTAGCATCTCTTCACGCAAAAACGACGTAAAAATTTCAATCCTTATACAAAACGCATGAAAGTTTTGCATCCAGTCATATCTCTACAATGGGTCTCATGAATTATTGACACACCTCCAGTCTGCCACAATCTTGAGAGGCGGCATTTGGCCATTATAGCATGTCAGTGACTCCCAGCTGATAGTTTCGCCGCTGCGACCAAAACTCTGTCGTCTGTCGCCGAGCCGCCGTGCCCCGTTAATCAGCTGACCGCGGCCCAGTCTCCGAGTGAGAGCGAGAGTTCCCGGGCCGGTCGCCAGCCGAGCTTCATTGGGGTCATCGGGCGGCCGGCGCAGTGCACCACACCCGGTCGGGCCGCTATTGGGAAGACGGCCCGCCCGGAATAGAGCTGCAAGTTCCTGCCCGAGTCGGGACCGGGCCTAGAGCGGAGCTGCGGGATTCCGTCTGGGAGGCGTCGAGTTCGGAGCACAATCGAAGCAATAATTGTGTTGAGATCAAGCTGTGTAGGAATTCGTGTTGGCAGCAGGCTTTGCTTTCTAGACTCCATGCCCTGAAGACGATGCATGACATCTGCCTATGCATCATGTCAAAGGTCACAATGTGATGAAGTGTGATGGCGCACAAGACACCACAAGTAACCGTACGCATGTCTCACCGTAACCTTTACTCATGCTGCTCTAGTGCTCGACTCGACTTGTTCTGCCCGGTGAAGCGTGAACAGCTCCGGCGCGATCTCACTGACTTTCGCCATCAATCACACGCCGTCCGGTAAACAACTGTCACTGTGCCCTTTCTCTCTGACTGGTCCTCCCAGTCCCCACTCCTCCAACCACGCTTCATATCCGTGAGCTTGTTGACGCTCAATTCACGGGACTCCACCAGGCTGTTCGGAGTTCGGACAAAACCTCAATGTCAAAACCGGCTCGTTCGCTCTCCCGTCCACTGTCCAGCCGCGGAGGGTGACCCTGGCCCCACGATGACGTCATACAAGTCCGATCTACACGAGCTGATTTGTGGCCGCGGCCAAACAGTGTCCTTATGTGGTGAACGAGATGAACAGGGGAGACGGAGTGTGGGCGCATTTAGACTGGCAGTTACTAGCGGCGACAGAGACCAGAGGGCGCAAAGTTTCGAGAAGACCTGGGAGCCGTTGGACAGTAAAAAGG